CTACTTTGTGTCTTTTGCCTGGCAGTTCGCCGATTTTCTCTAACTTGATCTCGCTCAGTATCGTCAATGCGACGTTTTGATTTCTTGCTACTGGTAAAATTACTATGAGTCTCAGAAAGTTCAACATTCTGCTTACGAATAATAACCTTTGGAGATGAGTTTAACGTTACACGTTTATCGACAGCTAGGGTTGGCTTGTCTGCTTTCAGTGGAGTTCTCAGCTTTGCCGCTTCGTGCAAAATTAGACGTCTGTGTCCCGGTGGTATTTTTGGTAAGAAATCATAAATATCATCCTCAGTTATCCGAGCCAGCGCCCGAACACTTGTATATCCGGCCGTCCTCAGTGTCCTCAGTCCTCATCGATACATACTTTAGGAGTTCAACATCAATGCCACTTAACCACAATTCCAGTTGACTTTCTCTTGAAGGACTGTTGCCGTAACTCGCCGTGATGACATCGAGAAAAAAGTCTCGGACGACTGATTATAGAAATACGCGCTATAGTATTTGATTGGTTGAATTCGGAGGTCATGTCGGGTCAATGGGCGTAACTTCGTGACGTTGGAGGGCGTGGTTTACACTTATTTTTTTGGCGCGTCGACTTTTCGTTTGAAAAGTTGGATGACAGCCAGTGATTAGTTGCGTGACAGCCAACCGATTCATCAGGCCTGGCAGTTGCGCAGTAGGGGCGACTCAGAGGCTGAAAAAACAGTTCAGTGGTTTCAGCAGTATAGAACAATAGAGCAATAGGCATGGAATTATATGGCGAACTGAAAACATCTGTCAAGCGGATGTCTGCCATGAGTTGATTATCGCATATCGATAATGGTCTTTATGGATGGAACAGCCCTAAATTATAAATGTTCAAACTTGTCAGTGTGGTGTATCTGAAGTACAAGATTTATGATGTCCCCTCGAAATTATATCTAACACCAGGAAAATTATTATTAAAGGTTATTTATAGATTGCTTTCAGTTCTCCAAGTTTGAAATGTAATACCATTACTGTGAACGCAAGTAAGAATTAATGGAACGGCAATATTTCAGTATAAGACACTGTTTTGCTAGCATATATTTATATTGCTCCCGGTGTAGCCATTGCTTCCTGGGCTGTGTAATGTAGCTGACGAGTGTTTTCATAGCAAAACTGTAATTCATACTTCAATATTGCCATCCAATTCTTTCTTGCGCTGAGAACCATGGCTTCAAAATTGCATACACACATTGAATTCATTGTATTTTTTGTATTATAATTCTTTCTTATTCCTTTTTTATCCAGGATCATGTGTAAGATAAGCATATGGCTTAAAATATGTTTTGCCTCGTTAAATTTAGTCACTCAAATGGAGTACATACCATAATTATTGACCAGTTCCTTTATCTCGTTAGGTTGTAAAACGATTAAGAGATGAGATAAAATTAATGATGTGAACAGTCCTGAAGAAAAACAATACTTCGAAGTACCATGGCCAACAACAGAAATATGTGTGTTGTTATCTTTGTCAAACTGTAGACAAACAGGTGATGATGTACTTTTCTGACGGGCTCATGTTTAATTCATTTCTGATGTCCAAAATTAAAAGACGAATTCAATTGATATCATTATATTCATCTAATTATAAGGTGTTGCCAGGGTCAAACAGGCGATTAAAAATACATCAGTTTATTTGTGGTATCAATGTATTGCCTGGAGCGCGTGCTCTCATCCTCGGACTGGCAAATGTGCTTGTACATTCCATTCTATTATAGACCATTTTCTGATACCTAAATGGTCGTTAGAATGAATCTCATCAGCGTAAAAAAAAACCGTGGATTAAACAAGATTGTATTACAATGATCTTGGAGCCACCAACCTCAATATATATATATATATTTCTATATGCCATGCCCTTCAGGGCTAATAATGAAGGCCATCTTAATTATATTTTGATATTTACAGTTAGTTGATATAAATATATAATAACTGTGCTCTGATTGGTCTGACTGTCAGATTTTAAAGTCGGGTAGCCAATCACGCATAGTGTTGCAAGTAGCTTCGCGTTGACTTCTTTTTTGTAAACATCGCTCATCGTTCTAAATCAAAGGTTAAAATGGAACATAATTCAGATTACAGAATGGCCATTGTGTCTGGTACGCTGATAATGCTATCACTTTGCGCGCGATAAAGTTCATACAAGATCATCTTAGATATAAATTGTGGTTTATTTGATGAATATTAATGTATATAACATGGAGTGGATTTTCGCGAACAATATGTGATTTTGATGGTCTAGCTATGTGTACTCGGCAACTCTCTATTCCCTGGGTCAATCCATTCTGTGGTGGGGTACATTAGTTTTATCGATTCGGTTCATGTCTCCGTGGGTAAATTTGGCATAGCTTTGTGGAATTCCCGAGAAATATACATTTAGCGTTTAAATTCGTCGTTACTTGTTTTCAATGAGTTGAGCTACATTTTACCCCACATGCAATGCACACAACAAGGGACATCGTGTGGTCCACTCTTCGAAATACGCCGCTCTTGTTAGCCCGTTGCCTTATGTGCGGGTTCCCATCTCGCTCTATTCAATTCAGTTTTGGACATTTATTGTTGTTCACTTCTATTTGATTTATATTGAGCTTTTTGTCTTCATACTTTTCCGATCGATTCTAGCTATCCCAATAGAAAAAAATATCATCCATTACAGGAAGAAATTAGTCACCAGTTATGCCCCGTTATAATAAATAAGTGGGACAAGTGTGAAACAGCGTTCGGTTCGATTCACGTTCAATTCGCGTTCGATTCACGTTCGTTTCGCGTTCGATTGACTTACAAATTGAAATATCTATAATTTACACAAAAGTTTATATATGGCATATTTTGTGTAGGAAAATGGGGATCAAACTATTCTTTTTGGAGAAAATCATGGTTATAAATAGTCCTACAGTCTCGCTCACATCGGAAGGCACGTGGGCTCAAACAAGTATAAAATAGACCTAGAAACATACGAGAAACGCATAAATATGTTTAAAGAAAATGAATCTTATGTAAAAAATTATATAGTCTTATAAATTATCACCACTCAATTCAAAAACAAATAAAATCTTTGAAACAAGGACGTTGATGATGTTTTTATTTATAATCATTGTTCTTTGACCTCCTGTGCATTCGCAGACGCGTCAAGGAACTGTCATGCGCACTATGAAAGTGTTACTAAATTGATCTCTATTTTTCCCGCTCAAAAATATTGTTTAGTTAGCTGAAATTGCTATATATATCAATTATGGGTATTTCAGTGGACGTTTCAATCGTACGTGAATCGAACGCGAATTTAACGCGAATCGAACCGAACGCAGTCTTCACACTCGTATAAGTGGGTCAGTCTGACGTTGGCAAGCTAAACATCACGAATGACAAGTGTGCTACTCGATGTCAGCTTATTTGTTGGCTTTGTAATGGAGCCTTTGTAAACAAACTTCAAAAATGAATTGTCTTAATAAGAATTTGAATTTCAGCCAAATTCTCGGGAGAGTGACTTCTCAAGACAAAATTGTGCGTATACGTCGCAGCCACACAGCCTTAAAATAAATTGTCATACGAAACAAAATTGAAAAAATATTGGAAACAAATTACAAACAAAAGTTAAAAATAGAATACAAAATTCCATTGCTTGGTCTCGGAGAGCGTGGCTCTAAAAAATACAAATTGATCGGACTAATTCCCAGTTACATTTTGTCATATATTTCGACCACGGCGAAATTCAGTTGGGGACCTGAGTCACAAAACATGCCGTGGTTTCGCGGCTCCATGGTCGTATTATGGCTATTGTAATATTAGGCAAACATTTACGCGGCGGATCCGAACATGTCGAAGAACTTAATGAACTGGTAACGAGTACATGTCAAACGAGCTTTAGTACCCGAGACAACTGATCGGAAAACACAAATAGTATACTGTCTCTGACTGGATATTGCATTTGATACTTTCAGTGTTTCGGTTTTCAAAAACACTACTATTGTAACTCTTATCAGTTTTTCATCTGTACAATGCATATAAAATGAGGATTTACGAGCAATGAAAATCAGGTATAATAAATGGGAAATTTCATTCCTTTTTGTAAAATATAAAATATTACATTGCTTTAGTGAGTTCGTATATTTTATAAAAGAATCATTAGTTTATCAAGTCACTTGCTAAAATACATATAAAATAGAAATGAATAGTTATTACTTCCCTTCTGTCAATCTGAAAAGTGAATGAGCGCATATCATTCTCACTGCATCTTAAATTAATTGATTGATTGATTGATTGATTGATTTTAAAATGTTTGAGTGCATAATAATGCATGTTATTTTGAATTTCGTTTAGTATTCTCAATTATTTTGAATCTAAACGTCTACGGGATCATGTGCATTTCAAAGTAGATTTTCAAAATTATACGATGATTAAATACACAGAGAATGTGAAGAGATGTCACTGCTAACACCCAACAGATATATAACGATAACAACGCAATAACACACCTTAGTGTGCTTGCTTGACGTTCGATAACATCTGATTGGCCCAGGCATGTTCAAACGTAAATTGAAATATATTTCCATCGACAAAGAATTGAAAACAAGAATGGGAGAGGTTGTAAATGCGTGCAATTGCTAGAAATTGTGTTGCGATACTTCGGTACGCGATTACTAGTTCCATTGAGCACAATACTCATAATATGATGCTCCCTCAACGTACGGTGTAACAGTGAGCTAATAAGTTTATTTATTAATTAATTAATTATGAGCCAGTTGGGCGAGGCTAATCGAGTCGTCAACTCGGTGTGGTTCTTAACCAGTCTTATGATTGGTTGTTGACAATTTCTGAACAGGCCACGCCTCCAACTGTACAGTGCTTTCGGAGCGACCGTTAATTATTCATAAATGGAGTCAATTTGGGTAGGTTTCTTGACTTATTCTGCAGATATCGTTAAAATATAGGTAAGGCTTTGACGAAATTACAGAGAGCAACTAATATTCTTCAAGCTGGTATTTTTTTTATAGATTTTATTTTTCATTCTGTTCGTCTGTTTTTTCAAGTTCAAAAAATATGAGCTAGCTGGAGCTATCTTTCTTACACTTGGTACCAACCGATACACCCCCCCCCCATGCTCATAGGGACTGTGTACAGTTGATTATAGTCCCTGTGATAGAAGAGAACATTCTGGCATTGTTCCCTGGAAATGTTTGTACCATTGGAGAAAGTGAATGAACAAATAGGACAAATGTCCAGTTAGGATTACAAAATGGTTGTACATATTAACACAGTATAACAATAACCATACATTTGATTATTGTTCGAACTGCGCATGCGTCGCGCCTTGCGGAAATCCTAAACCTAACCTGTTACGAGTAAATTCTTACTTTTATAACAAAAACGAGTATTAAAGAGGCAATGTGATTTTTAGTGCGTTTGAATAATTTAAATCGATATAACACCTTGATAAAACATTAAAGTAAGTATCAAAATAAATTGAAAAAAATAATATGCGTATGCGTTTCTGATTTACATATTCGTACAGGTAATTACAAACAATTGTTTCCAATATTTTATCGAATGATTACTTTTATGTTTGCTGATATTTACTTACATTGTCTCTTTAAATAAGAGCCCACAACATCCACCATCGATAATGTTTTAGTATATGTGTTATCTCGTTCATGATATTTGTATTTATACAAGGCGACGAAGCAGAAACAATCTTACCTGCAAAACCACAGAGCAGAAGAATCATCCAAAACGTCTTCATATCGAGGCAAAGGGTGATACACTTTCCCTATATCCTCAATGTTATTGAAAGTGGTGTGTGGTGCGTAGATCGGCGAGATCACGACAGAGGGGCTGAAAACTGGTGGCACCACCTATCGTGGACTCAATATCTATGGTTACCAAAAAACAGGGCAAGATAAAATGGATACGATTATCAACGCTGATTCGGCGTCGGTGGATCATACCATTTTTTTTAAATTACGAGTACCTTTTATTCTGCATCCAATTTGGTTATTTGATACGGTCGCTGTAACATTTGGTATTGGCTTGGTATTTTCCTGAAAATCTGCGACGAATGTGGTATACTCTATAAACGGGGTATGCCACCGCAGAGGGGGTGGAATCAAACGCACCTCATAATAACGAATACCCCTGTTTATATTAATGGCACATTGTAAACACAGTTGGAATCGAGGACAGTGGCGAAGAAGACATAAAGAACAAATACTACTACACATCTATTTAGGGGTCAAAATGATAAATTCGATCTGACGTTCTCTTGTAAGTAAACAACCAAACTAGAGTTTGAATGCAGTTGAGTATCGCCAGGTTTATTCTCAATCAGATTTCACTCTTAGAAAGACAAAACACATGTCTTAGTACATAGCATACGATTGTACGCCATCATCAAGTTATACCATAATTCTACGATTTTTAGTACAAGTGGTGTCATATCTCATTCGTTTTTCCATGAGTTCAAGATACTTTGCGATTTCATTTCGCAGACATACACAAACATTGGTTTTATATATAATTATAATTACATATGACAATATATGTACATGATTTTTATTAAATCCACATATTTACGCTGGATTTTATATTTGTTATTTCGGCTCAGTGATATACACAGGGTAAAGGTTTTCAGATACTAATCTATTATATAGATATAGTATGTCGAATAAAATACTTAAGCGATACTGTGAATTGTACAAAATCATGTAGCGATATTTAAGGATGATTGGCCACCTGCAACCTAAACTACAATTTTGTAATAAACGATGCTTTACGTCTGGAAGTCTAAATAATCAATGAAGAGTTTGTTTAGTCATGATTTCAAGGTCAAAGTCTCAACAGACATATAGTGCGTGTTGACCTTTACGCCAGGTCGTGAGGTTTTAAAGATTATGCTATATACACGCCACCAAATATCTACGCGTGAGCATAACAACACGAAAGGCTGGATTGATAGTTTTGTTGGTTCGTTTGTAGGTGACAAATGACATACAAAGATGATAAATGGGTTTGACATGCCGATATAATAATGATATCATAACGCCCAGGTGTCCAGTCGTGTTCAATCCAGTCATTTGTCACTTTTGTCTGACCGTCGATACAAGTACTGTACATGACATTTCAAAGCTTAAACGAACGTCAGAATTCTAAAGTAGATTCAGTAAAAAATAACAATACGTTACTCGTACACTAACGCACTTTCAATACTTATACATATATAGCATACTACGGAAAATCAATCTGTATTTTGTATAAAAAAATGTAATTATATTTCAGGCAATTATTCAAACTTACATATCTTATCAAGCAAGTGAAATACCTTTTCGAAAGTATTGCATGCCTAGTCCCATTCCTGCCTATTTTGTGAATAACATTGACAGTTTTCAAAAATTCAAATGCCAATAACGAGATTAAATGCACATCATTTGAAATAGACAAATAGAGATTACGTATTCAATTTCAATCGTGGCTGGCTATGGTGTGCGCTATGAAATAGGAAACTATAGCTTGCAAAATTGAGTTCGTTTTTATATTCAAAAGTTTGTGCTCTATCATGGTATATGTAAATGTTTCTTCGCATTAATTGATTATTTGAACAAATACTATATGAAATACATCATGACAGGCCCATCAAAAAGAAATGTATTACTGTAATACGTATTCAAATATTCAAAAGAGACATCCACCATATGTTGAATTAGATTAATATATGTTGTGTCCATGGTTCTTGTGTAAAAAAAAAACAGCGTCCAATAACTTGTTATTAGGCCGAGGACCCCTTCTGTAAATAATGCAAATAAGCTGAGTAAACACTACATTCTTAAGTTATTCGTGGGGTGCTAACATGTATAAGAAAATATTATCTAAAGTGGTATTTTTATAGTACGGTATTATAGTGTTGTCGAATAATTTATTCAAGACAGTACTCACGTCATACAAGGTTGCTGTATCTTTAGTTGTCGATGGTAGGGTAACTGGTGCGGCTCCATGGTCCTATACAAAAATAACAGAAACAATCAATGTCATCTTACACGTATTATACAAGTCACAAACATCGTGTCGCGTGGCGTACGCTTGCTATGAAAGCCTCACCGTGATTGGCCACTTGTGATTACACTACAGACGCTTAAAACAGACACACAGACGTACCTGTGACGGCATACCATATCCAGGGTTGTCTATTGACGAGTCAAAGCCCGTAGATGCTGGCGTGCTCTTTTTGAAACTTACACTTTATTAAGAAAAGAAGAAAAGAATATTTCAAAGGAAAAAAAACGTAAAATTTAAAATTGAAACGGTATTGAATAGTGTCAATATCACAGATGAAAATAAAACACGTGACAATGCCATACATTTTATTAGTTGAGTATTTATTGTTACGTATACTCACGCCGAGATAGAGGAAAGCGTGTTTGATAGGGACTCTGGGACCATAGATTTATTTTGCTTCTTTCTATAATAATACCACACACCACTCAAACATCCAATAATCAATAATGTGAGAATAATACAAGTGAAGACAATAGCACCCGTATCTGAGAAAACACAATGCAAGAGGAAATATGAAATAACAAAAATAATGCATATTAATATATACCTGGGATCTGAAATACTGAAAATGAAATGCCTTTCCTTGTTTCTTAAATATATTCACTAGGAAACAGAACACAGATTGTTGATTATATTTGATTGAATGTATGGATCTTTTTAAAAAATGTATATTATCAGTTACTTACTGGTTGACGAATATTCAGGATAGTTCGGTGGTACATAATCTGGTGGAGAAGTAGAGTGTAGAAGGGTGTGATAAGAAGGAAAATGTTTTTTGAAATGCCTGATATCTAAAGGTAATATATTCTCAGGGTGGACATCCGGGCATTTTCACCGCCTGGCAACCATTATCACAGAAAACGAAAGCCGAAAACTCCAGGAAACGGTATTTTGGGTTAATTGTTCAGAATCTCTAACAATAACAAATCTACCCCTACATGTTCAACATATATAAAATCGGTGTTCCACAGCTCGCATATGTTCATAGTAATGATACATTGTACAGTGTTTTGCGTACAAGTAACATTATAGAAATTCCTGTGACATAGCGCCGCCGCTGAGAATATGTGAATATAACAAACCAACCCGACATTAGTTGAATGGGGAAAATACAAGTCATAGACACAAAGACAAGACTACAACCAGGGTACATTCAGTATAATAAATTACAACAAACATGGTCAACTCTGTGAAATGTTGATGAATACAACCAATAGGTGCTTTTAGCTGTTTCGAAAAAAGTGAACAATGGCTGCTCCATATGTGGCAGCCACCATATACCATGTACTGTAAATCTCGGAAGCACTTTCATGTTTTTCATTAAAACACGCCGTTTTAATTGAAAACACACTGTTGTAATTAAAACATGTGTATTATATAATAAAACCCTCAAAACAGTAGTGTTTTAGTATTTTTAGAAAAGTGTTTTAGGGAGTTATTAAAACACTTTTTGATGAAAATTAAGCACATTGTAAACACACAAAAATACATTTTTTCTGAAATAAAACACTAGGTGTTTTACGGTGACATAAATGTGTAATCAAAGTGTTTATTGATAGAACATTTAAGGGCTAATGCATCCACCTTTATGCAAAATTGAGTGAAGAGTCTGGGGACTCGTGAGTAAACATTATGGTATATATGCCAACTAGACAATCACCGAAAGTGACGTAATGATGCGATGGGTCATGACATTACTTCCAGAAAATAATGTTATGTCACGCACCAACCAATAAGGTTTTACCAACCTAAGCACAACTAGAAATCGAGACACGTGGTGAATTAAGTACATCGTGGCCTAACGGATTTTATTAATCTGCATTTGGTGAACAGTAGTTGTCGTTACAATGACATATGAGCATTCTCGCATGTTTGTTTTTTTCCTCGAGTGTTAATGTATAATACACATTTGTATTCATGCGAGTAAAACACTAAAAACTTTTCTTCCGAATTGTTAAATTGTTTTATCATGGAGCACTTTATAAAACAAACACACATGTAATGTTTCAGGGTAAAACACTCGACTATGCATGTTTTATAAGTGTTTATGTACACGACATGTACACAATTTCATCAGTGTAACTAAAACACTTTTCTTACAAATTGTTTTGTCTTGAAACACTTTTTAAAACAAACACACATGTAATGTTTCGAGGTAAAACACCCGACTATGCATGTTTTATAAGTGTTTACATATATGACATGTACAAACTAAAAGCAACTAAAACACTTTTCTTTGAAACTGTTTTATTTTGAGTCACTTCAGAAAACAAACAAACTTGCAATGATTCAACCTAAATTACCCGATTATATACAGGACGCTTTTGTATGCCGTCTACGGTATGCATCTATAATAGACACAATATTTATTATCGACTGTATGTAGCATATTTATTGGGAAAAACATTTGACATACTGTGCATGTAGCGATACATTTACTGATTTTAGTATTTTGCGAGTGTGCATACCATGTACCTGTCACAAGTTTAATAACCGATGGAATTAAACATGCACCGTGTTATCAATGTTCGAGTTAGTAAGCTGGACGACGCTAAACAGGCAATTATTCCCTGTGATCGAATCATTAGATTCAATTTCTTTACAGCTCTTATTTTATTGGCAGAGCCTCGGTGTTGAATTCCAATATGGTGATTACCACGCACCTGTGCAAATTGTCGCCTAATTTAAACAAGCTCATTTAGGCCTCTAATAATACATAACCATTCATTGTTATTTAGAAATGTAATTAATACAACAAATACAATATGGAAACAAATATTGAACAATAAATAAGTTTGCTACTTCTTTGCAAATATTTTGAGATACCTTTCGTAAACGACGGTTGACATTAATGTATGTTGCGTGTTCAGGTCACGGGTAACTTGTGTCGTGCGCACGCCCATTCATGACTGAATGATACTATCGGGAGTATACGTGGACAGGTGGCATATTCGTTGAAGAAGCAATAACAACTTGAATCGAATGAAGTCTTTTTTTTATTTTCCGGGGGGAAAAGGGAACCGGAAGTTATCCTAAACAAACCTGAAGGTATCATGATATTGTTACTCCGTTACGAAGCGTGTGGAAAATGTAATTGATAGAGCCAGCGTCGGCACTTGTGTACTACATTGATATTTGCAGCGGTCTCCATTTATTTCTTTATTGTTCGGCATAACTGATTAAACTCAAGTTCATGAATTTACAGGGCCAGAGAATTTCATATCACATTACGTCCATGCCAACACCCCCCAGATCAATATCTGAGTTACCAAATAAAATCATAGAAATCTTGCAGAATTTAACAGGTTTGTGGTAATATTTTCGCCTATATATTACATGCGCGTTAGTTTATAACAACAATAATATTTTCATCGTATATCGCATTGTTTTAAACAATAATGATAATTATTTGAACATTACTCACTGCATTTTGATAATATTATACTTTTCAGATTTTAAGAGAAGCGATCGGAGCGAACAAGAGGAAACTGCTAATGGTGGGAATTAATTTTGTTCTGTTAATATGGGTTACTACTGAAAAGGTTCAAAGATGTTATTGTTCGTTTCAGTTAATTACTCGTCTGTTTTGAGGTGTAAATTTTCGCAAATATTGGGTATTATATCTACAGTTTCACGAAAAGTTTGAATTTCAGTACAAATAAACACGCTTACTCACGCGATTGATAATATCTTTTACAACAACTATACATGTCTGGTTTCCTTAAATGTTACATTCGAACTTACTTTATTAATGTTTATATTTAGGAATACAATCTTACTTGATTATGTGATTTGTTTATTGTCTGTTATGATTACTGTACAATAGTGTAAAGTGCCTCATCGTGAAACGCATCATTCGATATATTTTGTTTTCAGAAATAATAATTTTAATGATTTTTTTATCATGTTATCAGTGTAAATACATTTTAAAATGTGTCTCTGTTACGAACATTTGTCAATATTTTGTTTTATTGTTCAAAGTGTTGCGGTGATAAACACGTTTTCAATAAATATTTCTAGTGAAATCACTTTATTAAAACAAGTCTTCGGTTGAGACATTTTTCTATGTGTCGCGATTATAGATCATAGCACTTTTAAAAGTGTTGTGATGATAAACACTTTTTATACATGTTCCTGGTGGGAACACTTTACAAATATGTGACTAGTAAAACACTTTTAAAAAGTTTTGTGATAATAAACACGTTTTATGCATGTTTCTGCTGGAAACACTTTTAAAAACGTGTTTCTAATGTGTTATGGATAAAAACATCCCTGAAATGTTCCACTAAAAGTATTTTCATAATGAACACTTTGCAATTATGCAGATTATAAACACTTTAAGTGTTTTTAAAGTGGGGACAAGCTTATCAACGCTCTAAATGTTTTATCACAAAACAGTAAAAATGTTTTATAACACTCTAATGTTGTAAAATAACTCATTTGCGATTTTGAGAAAAACGCTTAATTTGTTTAATTATAAAAGTGATTTTAAAGTGGGGACAAAAAAGTGCCATATTTAAAACACATTGATTTTCAGTGTATGCAGTATTGACCGACAAGAACGAGACAACCACGCACGCTACAATTACACGAACACCACTATTAAATAGCATGCACGCCACACTACACAGCCTAACTAATAAGAGAAATATATATAGACAATCATGAAGTGATTTCAGGTGTTTTGTGAAGAGTCGGCTCATCCTGCTACACACGTGACACCCAACTCATAATACCTACCAAAATGAGTTTCAGTATTTTTATATTTGCCATTCTACCCCCCCCCCCTCCCTAAATATATTTTTTTATAACTCATGTTTTACCCAAATATATTTAAAATAACTTAATATATACATACCATCGCAATTTCCGTAAAACATCTCGGTATCATCAATAGCCATATTGCTCTTTTGACCGTTACCCCGGATGCCCTCAATAAGTATTTGAAATTCGTAGTCAAGGTTTATACTGATTCTCACTTCCTTCCAGTCATCGCCTTGGTCTCCTTTTTTACTCCAGATTTCTGTTCGGCTTCCCAATTGTTCGGCGTGAGCATAGTACACTCTTAACATTCCCATGTCTGTGATGAGATTTACACTAGTTTATATTTGCAAAGAATGGTGTGCTAAAGTGCCTTCATTCTCGATACTCATATCTGAGGTGTGTGTGCAGTCAGCATGCTAATATTAAACTAAGCTATTATACACAGAGTAAGTGGGTCGATTGTCCAACATTATGTATCATTGTTTTTTTCAAAATCAAACAGAAACATAACAGGAATTGAAAGTCTCTCAATTTTAAAAGACCGAATTAATCCAAATTGGATTGTACTTCATATATTATAATATATAATATTTTGAATCACCTGATCCGTGCATATGGTAATAGAAGATAAAGCAACCATCGGGTGTGGGATCGAAGTGTTCGCTGGTGAGCCATGCTTTCCATCCCTGGGTCACAGGGGAGCTTGATTCAGTGTACATGTAGTAACCTATTTAAGGAGAACATAATGATAAACTCATTACACAATGATACACGTGAATAAACTGCTACCTGCACGATGTATGTATCAAACAGTGAGACACATCTATTAGGTGTATTAATGATGGTATTACCAGCGGCAGAGGCTGTTGTGTGGTCCCTGGGAGGACCGGTTCCCGAAGTTGGAGTACCATCCTTGTCACGCTGCCAATCAAAATCATCTGCATCGCGATTATTAGTCCATCCACACATATTGCCGCCATCGAATGTGCAGTGACCTAGAAACGAAAAATGTAGGATAATGGTAAAAATGGGTGGAATGTGTGTCTGTCAAACAAAGGGGTAAAAAACTTGAATGTCCGTTACTTGTATTATCCCGGTTATTCACAATTATACATCTAATTATCGTGATGGTTAGAAGTGAGATTTTGTACACCAGCTCCACGAATAGTCCATCATGGTACTACTTCTGATAATATCTAAGATTGCCACCGCTAACTAACTGTATGCCATATAACACTAACGACTTTCAAATAGTCGGCCATTTTTATTGGCTTAAGCACAAGAAATTTAGGAAATTTAATTTGACCTACATACCACTCCCCATGAAAAAATAGAAAACTTTCAGAAAAAACAAACTTTTAAGTGGTCTGGTTCTATGACACCTACCAGGGATTCCACAGGAACCAACTTTGGGATAGAGATCGTCGATTGCAATATCTCCTTTAGTGTCACCTCCCCTTACGCCCTCGATAACAATTTGATAGTCGAATGGGGCATATGCTTCGTACACTCCATAACGCCACTGGTTTCCTTGGTCGGCTGAAAGAATGATTTTTTTCGTTCGTTCGATTAGTCTATGTCGCCCATAAAGCACTATAACAACTGACAACCAGATAAGCTCGGTTCGAACGACTACATTCACAACCGAGAAATATGTTGTATAGGTGTGCAGGCTTTTTTTTAAAAAAATTGGATGTGATACTCGTATATTTTACTACAAAGAAATGCATCGTGAGTTGTCGTGGATAATAGGGTCAGTGCAATCGACGGTATTTGTAGGTTAAAGGGCGACAGTCGTCGCGCCGCGTCCTGTTCGATATGGAACTCATAGCGACGTATAGAACGCGTGTGAAATACATTGTTTATTTACATGAAATTCGAACACACGCTACGCGACGACCATCGCGGTTTAAACTAGATAAAGTACGGTCACATATACAAGTGTCCTCCATAATTGCATTTCAGTTTGGGCAATGATAACAAAGAAATGTACTCACTGTGTTTCTCCCAAACCGTCTCACTCTCCCCTCCCGTGTCTACCGTTCTAGTGTATACATACAGCGAACCTATATCGTCTCCTGACATGTGATACCAAAATTCCAAGCACTCTGTCGTTCCACCCGGAATAACTGCACTGAGAAGCCTGGCTTCCCATCCCTCCCGTCTTGGCCAAGACGTTTCAATAAACAAGTACCATCCTGTTGGATTTGAATCAATATGAAGAAAAATACAAAATAGATTCAATATAGAAGTGTTGTGAACATGTTCGTCAAAAAATACACCATATAGATTGCACGGACATAATCAGCTCATCGTTAAATGCGTATTTTGAATACTAAAATGTCCGGTAATTAAACGTCTAAAAAATAGGTCGACTCGCGTACGTACATGTATATGTACACATGTTCTTGATCTGATTGTTTGATAAAGATATATACACATACACTAAACATGCCGTGAAAATAGTGCAACTGCCTACAAATAATAAACGTACAGCGAACGTACCGTCTTCTGTCCCGGTAGTGTGGTCCACAGTTGGCCCAGTATTGTCAGACATCGTGCCATCGCGTCCTCGTCGCCAATTAAAGTCATTGGTTTCGTCATTAGTCCAATCACACCATTCACGGCCTTCAAAGTCACACCACACTAATTAAATGAGATATGAAACGAAATGAAATTAATGGGAAACATTCATATCTTGGTTACGATTTTATTTGTAAATGTACTGTTTTTCTGGTTATTTTTTTTTTTCATGCAATCGGGCATGTAACATTAACCGAAATCTTGTATTTGCAATGCCACATTCGTTATGTTTCTAATTAAGTCCAAGAAATGCGACGTGTAAAATGCATGGCGAATATGACGAAGTGATTTCCAGTTCAAACAAGCCAATAATGTATGTTCTAATGCCAGGTGTAGCTAAAGTTTAAAAGACAATAACAGGCTGACCCAAATAATTTGAGGGAAATAATAGACATCGAGAAAATAAACATAAAAACACACAGACATAGATTATTCTGATCACAAAAAACCTAGCTTAAAAACAAATTTATGGAAAAATAGTTTGCATTTTTTTTTACCATCTTCGTCATACCCTTAATATGTTAAGTTCGATTGCTTTATGCCCGTTATTGGCACGTTATTTCGCTATCACTCTTACACAATGTATGCATGTATGAAATTTAAAAAAAAAACGATTCTCACATGATGGTGGACACTCTCCTTCCGTCCATTCTATATCGTCGACTGCAATATCACTTGAAACGCCATTGCCCATATCAGCGATAAATTCGAACTAGATAAAAGTAGTAGCTAGTGTAAGAGTCAGTATCTAATCATAGATTACTTATAATTAAAAGCCCAACCACCACCACCCCCTTCCCCGTGGCAGAATCAGCTGTATCGAGATCCCTTTGGCGCCAGAATTTATTTATTAAATCGAGTACAATGTTATGATATATTTTCGTACAGTATTATCGGTGTGATCTCGAGGCCAATACATGACCCTTGACGGCGCTTCTAATGCCGTCTCTCACGACGTATTGCTTGAGAAGAAATACCATCATATGTACCACCCACAATCCGATAAATAACATATAAATATAGTCCGAATAGAACGACATCGTGTGTATGAGGGCCTTTACGTTGCGTTGTAACTAGGATTGTCCTCACAGATTTATATTCACTTATCATCCTACAGAACTATGCATACACCATACAGCGTTTGCAATATTAAGCGTCACTCTTACCGCGGCAGACCGTTAAAAGAAGATTTGGAACATGGCTTCATCATTAACGTCGGCGACACGCCAGAGGACCGACAGTCGTTTCTCATTATCAGTCGAACTGAATAACTGTCCGTACTAAAACGTGTTAACGATGATCAGAGTACTTACCTGGAATTGCACATCGTCTAACCCCAAGGTCTTTTGCATCTTGTGCCATTCGTTTCCAAGAGTGCCCTCCTTTCTGAATACGTCGAATGCAGCAAAGCCAAGTTGACGTTGTCTTAACGTGAGTGAGCCAACCGTTGCACCGTACATGTGGTAGTAAAACGTCAGACACATTTCAGTAGTAGCGGGCTGCGGGTAGGTAACAAACACGGCTCTTTTTTCAGTCATTGGTACTGTACTTTCAGCAACCAAATACGTTCCTGGAATTACATGAAAGCTCGTTTTGATTCAAAATTATGATTTACTACTCTTAGCGAAAAACGTAATCTGAGTACAAGCGTAACACATTATCTTTGTGCTAGACCGCATTGCAATATTTATAAACGCAACTGCCTTCGATTGAAGTTTGTTGAATTCAAATCCAAACGTGACGATTGGGCCGGCTTGTTCGGTACCACCTATATCTACGAATAAATAAAAGAAACTGCAAGTATTTTAATTCGCTATTATGTGGCGTGGCTATACGAACTCATACATAGCGTACGAGCCGTTCGAGTTGATATGATTTAGATTGATATACAATTCCTAACGTACATGACTTTGTTCACTCAAGTAACTTGTAACACGGTTACGTCAATGACAAATCAATCAATAGTCATAATTACCGTCATCCGAGCCAGGATATTTTGTATTATCGTGCTCTGGGCCTGTTGAAATTGTTGGCCCCGTTCCAGACCGACGCTTCCAGTCAAAGTCATCGACATCAATATCGTTTGGTTCCTGCTGCCATCCGCACATGTCTATTTCAAAATCGCACGTTAAATCTGCAATTGTCATCAGTATATGTTGTTATAACCGCTTGTAAGTAGAGATTTGTTCTGCTGTGTTTATTTGATCTATGAAGTATACACAGCTCACCCGCTGTGCTAGATCATGCAATACACTGTCTACTCTATTCCAATAACAATACGATTTCATTGAAACCTAATGATGAAGATGATAACTCTAAAATAAAATAAAATAACTTAATTAATCTCAGCGAGCATCGATATCATAGACAATACGCTTCCAACAAAGATTGATATAATAGTGTGTATGTGTGTGATTGTGGAGCAGTATGTTCTCGCACGTTTCGAAACACCCGAAATAACGTCTTGACATCTTCGTCTCTTGAATTGATGGTGTATTGCAATGTATCTGATCATGTATTGTTGTGTATTTGACAGTGTATTTGAAGGAGTATTTGACAGTGCATTTGACCGTGTTCTGTGGTGTATTTGACAATGCATTGTAGTATATTTGGCCGTGTATTGTATTGCATATGACCATATAGTGGTGTATTTGACAATGTGTTGTAATGCGTGTGTTGTAGTGTATTTGACCACGTATTTGACAATATATTGTAAAGTATTGTATTGCAGCGTATTTCGACATGTATTGCAGTATACACAAATATTTATATAGCCATATACGGCAGTTTATTTGCGCGTGTATTGCAGTATATTTTGCCATATACTGCAGTATATTGCAGTGCATTCTAATATGTATTTGATGTATTGGGGTGTATTTGAATGTACAAGTTTTTTTTTTATTAATCTTCAACGAATACGAATAGCGTCCGTCTAGTTTTTATTTCTACTTAGCCGTGTCGCTGTGAATAAATGACCATTATTAATAATTGAAAAGCATGATGTAATGTAATATCGAAGTTTATTACTCACCACTGACATATGGTTTGTTGTCATCAGGATGACAGTCTATATAAACTATTTCATCTACGCAGATGTCACCAGCGTCTCCGGTGAAGGTGCCAGCTATTGGGTAAGACTCAAAATCCAATCTAAAGTCTTCATGCTCTCCCATATAGACTTCGGCCCTCTTCCAATCCGTACCCTGATCATTTCGCTTAAACCACAGCATGTACACGTGCAGTGACCTATCAGGATTCTGCATTTGCAGTGCCGTGGCTCCTACGTCATTTCCGCTGATATGGTATTTGAAGGATACCTTGCAGCTTTGACCCATGATTCCCGCATCCGTGACCATTATGCCAGCGAAGTAAAATAGAGATAGGTCTCCTACTATCATCATGTAATGACCTGGGTTATTGGAACAGAGTTATTAAACGTTATCGTTTACGCATAGCCAATGCAAACCAATAGTGTGTCTTTTAAAACGAGAAGGATTCGTCATTTTTGTCTCTATATTTGTGTGGATTAATTGAAATAATACATAATATCAGCCAGAAGGGTGGACACAAACATTTCAACACATTTAATACCAACAGACTGGCATGAGAAAAGTTCATCAAACTTTTCATGAAGTCATTAAAAAAAATCGATGTGATCACAGAACGCATATGAGGATACAGTCCCTCAACGAGAAATGTAAAATTCAAAACACCAAAAACAGATTTCAGAATACGAACATTACATTTGTGTCATTCAAATAATCACTGCGTTGCCAGAGGGCACAATTGACATTCATATTTGTTTCATGACGTCGTCGTATTTGACACATACCATCTGTTCTCCCAGCTCCATCAGTAGCTGGCGCATGGGAAGCTGTATTGTCGGTGATGTGGTATCGCTTCCAACGGTAAGCGCCGGAGCTGGCATCTGACCAACCACACTGGTCGACTTCGAAATCGCATTCACCTGTTTGCATAATAAATAAATGTACACATTAGTGCATAATCTAGTTATTCCTTTTTCTCATTATTTAAATTTTGTTATTTTGTTAAAAATAAATAGTTTAAAAATAAATATAAATATTGATTTAATCTAATTAAACACCGGTGTAATCGGTGATGTTGTTTTTTTATTTCATTTTATTTTCTGTTTCATTGCAGTTTTAATAACGATATTTTCACATTGCGTTCTTCTCAAGTTGTGCTGCGACATCGAAGTCTAAGAAGACGATTCTAAAAATGCAAATCAAGGTAACTGACAATTGTAATTATAATTTACTAAATATACAATAAATGAGCACTATATATCTTGTTGGTGTTACTCTATCTAAATAAAGACGATCGTAAACTTTCTATCAAGTTTATTGTACTGTCGCAACAATAGATGTGATGTGAAATTCATTCCTCCACAATTAAAAAGCTATAGTGAATAAGCTATACCACTTTCAATTGGATAATGCCATGCGGTACCTTGTTTCTAGTACATTGAAGCTATACTCGCATACAGGTTCCGATTACCTTTTGTTCGTTTACTTTGAAGAACATGGATATTTGTGACTGTAATTAGTAGTATATCATAGGCACGATATTCAACACATCACATCACGCAAGGGACGACGTCAAAAGATCGATGTCGGATAAATAACTTATTTCCTTTAGTTTGTGGGTGGGGGGTTTTGACCTCAAAATGTTTCCATCCTACAAAAACGATTTTATTTTTTAATGAAGTCAAAACAATCTTGGAGTATTTGTAGTTCGTTTTTTTTTCTATCCAATCATGGACAGAAATAACCGAAAAGGAAAAAAAAAACAGAAAAATGGTTTGGTTCGAGTGTAAATCTGTGCGTCAAATGAGGTGCATTTGTAAAATCTTTTTACACCCACCCGACAACCAACTGCTATATAATACTACTGTCCGATTATCAATTTGTATTGAATGGTGAATGTAGTCTGACGCAATCATGGTGACCAATATTTATCAATTAAGTTTCAGTGTGGGGTAGGGGGGTTGGAAAAAAACTAAAGGAATTAAGTTTTTTATCCGACATCGATCTTTTGACGTCGTCCCTAAAAGGTACACCATTAAAAAAAAACAATTGTGCATGCATGAGCAGTTACAGGCTAAAATACATTTATAAAACAAATCCCACTGGTCCCACTCTTTCTAACACCCCTCACGATTTTGAATGGTTGATTCATTACCATCGATACTACACTTACCGCACACTGTCTCATCAGACCCGTCAGGACAGTCTACTTTGTAGTTGCATTTAAGTTCTTCATCAATACACGTGCCATCGCCGCATACAAACATTCCTGTAGCACATGGAGATGGGGTCGCTGGTTGTGGCTCGACGACGGGGAGATCATCGTTTGAAACCGGACATTCCGGTGTTACAACAACATCGTCAAGAGCCACATCACCCCACAAACCGCTACCTACAATTAGTTCAAATACCACCTGGAAATGAAATGATTCAGAACAACGTTATTTTATTTACTACATACATTTTCTGTAACTTGTGCCTTCTAGCGACGACGCTCTTTGTAATATCAAAATTACGTAGGTGGATGTAATTAATGCCGTCGATAGCAGCACCAAACTGTTTAGAGTGATTCGTCTTTTAAAATAGAGTAAATCGTTCAAACATGTTTCAATTCATTTTTGCATTTCTCTTTCAAGCATATGTGTGTTTTGTGTGTGTTTATTATAAATATTTGTTGTCTGTTTGTAATTTTTCCTGCATTTTCGTTTTCATATTCCAACATGTCACTAGGCTTTAAAGTGCCCGTGCAATGCCCACCCTCGCGTTTTCCATTTTAGATCTGTGTCCCACTGAAATTGGCAGTTATTGATTTTTTTGCAGAAAATGATTACTCGTATCCAAGTAAATTTGGGATATTTCTCGTGTTGTAGCCACGCCCACCTATCCTGAAACGGTCGACTGTTTCCGGATTTCCGACTCTCGCCGAAAGTGCGCCACCAAATGACAAAATGTGAGAGGAAGTCATACCCCTGAGCCGTAATAACACTGGTCATTCAGTATACTTTTAAACGATACACATTTTTCGGTCGGCGTTTTTTTGTTTTTTTTTTGTTTTTTTTTGTCTATTTTACTTTTTTGGAGAGAGAGTTTTTAGATGTTGCGTTGTGGATAGTTGCAGTGAAACGTATAGTCACACGTTTCTAATCGATCCGAAGGTGTGACATCAGTAGACGAAAGCCACTTAACCTCAGATTCTTTTTTTGTGTGGAAAAATCTGTTCTCGTCCATGAAAAAAAAATTAGGTTTAAACGCCGACAACGTAAACCTGGCGCCACTCTTTTGAAAGAAATAGATTCCGGACCAGCCCATGATCACCGAGGCGGATTTCGGAAGAGATAGAGACGTCCGGCAAGTGTTTCAAATGAGTTGAATTTTTTTGCAATCGTGATTATCGTTTTATAGAAACCATTTAGTCCCTGTTAAGGTAGCAATAATTTTGACAGTGACACGAAAACGAAGCGTCGGACAAACAGGAAATTACACAGCAATTACACACTGCTAATTGTTTTCATTTTCGAAGGCTAAAAGTTTCTGAATTGTTTGATGATTGGTGTTGAATGTCGAATTCACCGCGTGATAAATCACAGTACACCATTTCTGTAAGTTGCGCCCTCAAGTGACGGAGCGGTTTTGTGACATCAAAATGTCGTTAATGGTTAAAGTAGTGTCATTCAATTTGAAATCGACAGCAGATTTGGGCTGTTTCGCTGTATCGACGCTTTGAATTACCTCCGTGTCACCAATTTACGTGATGAAATAGATTCGTGGCTAGAGGGTGTAATGTATTGAAAAGATGTAATTCTATACAGGTTTATGAGTATGAGTATGAGGGCAGTGGTCGTCGCGCAGCGCGTGGTCAAATTCCATAGGGGGCCGATAAGTTGGCCGAAGGCCAAGTTTGCGAGCGCCGATGGCACGAAGCACTGTTGGTTGTTGAAAATAGGGGGCCGCGGCCCCCTCGGCCCCCTCTAAATCCGCTCATCATGGCGACGACCATCATCCTTTGAAACATGGCTCTATTAATTTTACTCAGCGTACCTGGAATACTTCTGTTTCATCTAACTGAACAACCTGTTTAATCCAAAAGTCGCCGTGGTCATTCTCTGCAGAGAACAATGTCTTCATCTGGCCGTTGATTTCAGTTCGAGTATAGACAGTAAATCGACCGACATGATCGCCCCATAAATGAAAGTAGAAACGCAGCTGTAATAGACAAAATAGTGTTTTAGTTGGTGTATTCAGTTGGTAATATGAAGCCTATAGTCATAATTTTTGACAAAATTTGTCATAAATCGCATGAAATTATTCATGCAATGAAAATATCCCATTGTGCAATGAAATAGCATTATTTTGTGTGTTACAGTTAAGCTTTTTGAAAAACGTGTCCTAATATTTCTTAAAAATGCTATTTTTAGACAATTCCATAGAACACAATGTTAAAGAAAAATTTCATTTTTGACACTTTTTTTAAAAATCCAGAGAACTCCTTCATTAACAATATATGATTTTTTGAACCTTTGGTAAAAGTGTTATAATAGTGTCAAAATGACGACTTTCCACTAAAATACAACCATCATTTTCTCGAAAAAAAAACTGGTGACTTCCAATTTATTTTCGGTCAATATCTTTGTATTGCCTTGGAGTACAGTTTATTTCAAAATGACTAAATTCTGGGTATTTTAATTTATGAGTAGGCTTCTACCTTATTAAGGAAAATACTGTGTAATATATGGTCGTGTTTGGTAAACTGTGTTTTGGCATATGAACAAAAGCTGGGATGGAATACACATGATTGTGGTCGTGGTCTTGAATTGGTCGCCATTCTATTCTAATTTGACAAGACAATGCGTTTTCACCCGATGACACCGACTGCCACACGGGGGAAACGCGACGACTGTGGTTTCAAAACATCCGTGCAAAATACATACTAAGCATTGTTTTGATTTATTTACAGAAAACAAATACATACTGGTTTATATGAAATATATATTATCTTACTTCGCACGTTCCGGGTTCAAAGTTGACTGTCAAAAGCCTCGCTCTATCACCTGATCGAACAGGGAATCTTGTGTCGACATAGAGGTAGTATCCCGTCGCTGAATTTGTGGTATGATCCCTGGCTGGACCTGTCTCGCCGCCGATCTCAGATGCTAAGCCTTGATGTTCCCACCATTCAGCATTGACATTCTCTTCGCTGTTTGTGTAGCCGCACCAGCCATGTTCAAAATTACATCCATGATACCCCAGATCATCTGCGTGGTTAATTTACAATTTCAAAAAAAATGTGCATTACACACTGTGGCTGGCTAAAACAGCGTCCTTTTCTAAAACTGTTGTCAGTATTTCACTCATTAATCATGTGAATTTACTCAAACGTCACGAAAAATGGGCGGCCGTACTACCTTCGTGTGATAACAGCAACTTTTAGTACTGCATGTCGGAAATGCGTATAACTATCAACATGTGATCGGAAAGTGACTTTTAATTATAGTCAAACATGGAGAAACTCCTGTTGAGTTACGTAATTTCATCCACAGTCCCGATGTACCCCCCCCCCCACACACACACACACACACACACACACACACACACACACACACACACACACACACACACACACACACACACACACACACACACACACACACACACACACACACACACACACACACACACACACAGAGAGACACACAAACGTATTGTTGATAAGAAGGTTTTGCATAAATTTCAACGACTATGCCGTTGTTTTGCTATAGTTCCACTGAGAATTACCTTCAGGAAAATAAATGAGCATGAAACACACCAAATCCAGTGATTCTAGCCAATAATATATTACTCACCACAACCATCTTCGTCCGATCGATCGCCACAGTCGTCAGTAAAATCACATTGATTGCTATCTTTAATACATGCACCGTTATCGCACCAAAACTTTTCTCCCGAACAGGTCGACTCTGCAACTGTGAAAATAAGACGTATTCATTTCAGTGGAACTGAAGTTAACAGTACAAATCTTAACCTAGATCGAGAAACGTTAAAATTAGAAGATAAAACATAGACAACGATATAAATGTAACTTAGATTGCGAAGAATGTGAAGAACGTTCTATGCCGTGAATTCCTTGAAATGTGTAGTCAATTTGTAGAATTTGGGAACACATGAGCCGCTAGGAGCGCCGTTGCACAATTGAGCGTTGTTTTTTTCATTTAGATTATTGTTGCCACTCACAAAATGTGCTCTATTCTTCACGGTATTTATTTCTGCTTTTTTTTCAATTGAATTTGATGAATTGTTAGCTCTAAAAATGGATAATGTTCGGCCATCTTTAATGTGACTTGTCTGTAAAGTTTGATTGTGATTGGTCAAGAGTACCGGTCAGGCAAACGGACTCACACAATTGAAGTTATGAGTTCCAGTTTCCGAACTAACAATGATCGTAAACATGTGTCAAAGAACGACTACGGACACTTACCTGGAAATGCACAGTCTGATACAATTATGCCATCGACTGCAATGTCACCTTCTTCGTTAAATAGAGGAGTTGTCTGAAACGTTAACTGCAACATAAGCATATATTAATTGTGTGTTGTCAGTAATTGTACTGCGCCGTAGACGCACGTAGCAGCGGAAATCTCGTTGAGAGCGAGAGGTTGAATTTGTTCCTCAAATTATTTTCCATTCTTACATAAATCAGTGGTTACAGGGAATACGATGACGGAAGAGCATTCGAATGGAACACTATTTCCGGGGCGAAAACAAGTCTCGTGGATTTCTCGCTCTCAACGAGATCTCGGCGGCCATGCGCTGGGTTATTTTGCGACGCTTGCTAAATGTACGGGTAAGATGACGCCATATATATAGTATTTTGTAATTATTTTGGGTTTTGTGCATTCATTCATTGGCTTTCTATATTCAATTTTAAAATACAATATTTAATTTAATGACCGAATAAAATAAAAAAAGAAAGAAAGAAAGAAAGAAAGAAAGAAAGAAAGAAAGAAAGAAAGAAAGAAAGAAAGAAAGAAAGAAAGAGAGAGAAAAGAAAAAAAGAAATAAATAAATATATACATACCCACCAATCTGTAGTTACACGACCAATTACAGTGGATGCAATGTGCCACTCATCTCCAGCACTCCCACGTGCCATCCATATCCGTGTTTTCAGTCCGCCGTTCTGATTAATCCATACATCTAATTTACCGATATCTGCAAACAAAATAGAGGTGTCGTGTATAAATGTGGTTCAATTGAAAATGGAATATAATACATTTTATTAAATGACTTTTGCCATGAAATATGCTACTTTCCCGATTTTTGTTACTACAGCTAATGATGATACGTAGTGCTAAAATGTTGGTCTGCACTATGTTTATGTCGTCATTTCCTGATTACTACCAATATTTGCATACAGTTAGATATCTATATAAGAAAATGACTACCACACCTAATTCTGAGAGAGAAAAAAGCAGGATGAAGCCTATAACACCTTAATAAGTTTACATAAGTTACGGATTCTACTTTTTACATCAATTGTCTTGTGTCCTGAACTTTTTCTGTCTGTCAGTCAGAAAGAACAGAAGGGTTCTGCTGACGTGCAACATTCCTACAGCTGTTGCCTACCTCAACAAAGAGTGTAGCTCAAAGTCATCGCTCCCCCCCCCCCAACAAGTGAAAACCTTCCCTTGGTGTGCGCTACACAACTTAAATGTAACGTGCAGACACATAATGAAAAACTGTACCCTTCACACACTAACAGCTGGCGCACGCATGATGATAAAATTAAATTAGATATTTTCTACATGTTTGTATATGAGGGCCGCCGTCTTGAATGTGGCATAAAACTAAATAACTAAAACGTTTTACAGACTCCTACAAATCAGGACAAAAATACAAATCTTTCACAGAAATACGATCCATTGGAAAAAAAAGACAATTCGCCCAGGCGTGTGGAGAAAGTGTTTTTCACTTGTTGCTTCATCTACTCGCCACTGGAACTACTACTGTGAAGGAAATATAAAAGTATGCAGTATGTATGTACAAAAAAACAAGAGCGATAAAGATCGTCACATGATGTACGAACACGAGATGAATTGTGTATTGTATACTCACGGTCTCCATACATGTGATAGTAAAAATATAGCATACAGGTGGAAGAGGATTCCCTGACAGTTGGACTCCTCATCGTTGAGCCACTAAAGACAGACCCCGTGTGAGCTTCCGTCAACATGTAGTAGCCTGAGAATCGGACAACAAACGCT